TAATTAATATTCAAACTGATGTTTTGGGTAATAATAATTATTGGAATAAGGTTTAGAGTAGAGTTCCCAATGCATGTAGATAAATAAATTATATATAAATAGTATTTAAAGAAAACGAATTGTATGTGTTTTAATTTAATTATAGTTCATATTGATAATTGACTAATTTGATGCTGATTAATTAATTGTGTAAGTTATCTGCATTATCTGACCTTGATGGACTTGTTGAATGACCAACGCTTGGCTCAACACGTGCGCCATGTCATTGACGAATAACCCGTTAGTCACAGCCTAACCAGCGTCTGGCAGTTCTATGTGAATGGGGCCCTAAGGCCCCTAGACTAACAGGGAGCACTTGGGCGCAATGATAACAGTAAATACATGTTATGTGGAAATAGTTATCTGTGCTTGTTGCTTGTAAACACTCGCATGATACATACATATTTGCTAAAAACACACGCATATATTTCTCTTCTTCTTGTCATGACAAATATTTCGATAGTGTGCCAAAACAGTTATTGGCTTGAATATAAAATTAACACCTGTTCTGTTCACGGTCATGAGCAAATGTTGTTCACTGGTTCCCATGGAGATTGACTTGTGCAAGTTAAACGCAATGGTTAAAGTAACAGACTTTTCCTTGTAGTGTTGGCTAATGGCAAAATACTGGGAATTCGTTGAGAGCCAAACTAAATGGGAACTCAATATTGGATTCAATCTTAGGACATTCTTTATAGACAATATACACAATATCTACTTTGCGATGACTCATAGTTGACTCATTTCACATCATTTAATGGATTAAATTTTGACTCATTTCATATTTGTTTTATGGCGTCCATATACGTAAGCATTCATTTTTTCCTTAGATTAGACGAAGCAGGGGAAGTGTAATCTAGTCTAATTTGCAATAAGGCCAATAAGGAAACAATATAATATTGGGTTCATTGGAGTTTTGTAAATAGTTTTAAAGGTGTTTTTTTTTTTTTTTTTAACTTTTAATAGATCAATTGCTTTCATTCGCAATAGTAATTAACAATTTGTATATAGTTGTATATGTTTAGCTCTTCTAGATAGAAGACCAGTTCACTATTTGACTATGATAATTTCGGCTTTTGATCTATTTCCATTGAAATCTGTTGTTTTATATCTTCATAGAATTTTAAATTAATTGAGTTAATCATATAAATATATATATAAATAGATTCGTAAAGTCATTCCGCATTTTCGTTGATAATAAATGAGAGATTGCTTGACTATAGCATTTATATGATTTATGAGTATATATTATATAGATTAGACAGGAACCCACTTTAAACTAGATTCTGGTTTAAGTGGATGACTCAAAACATGCTTAAAGAATTACGAATTTCAATTTTAAAACGTAAAACTTATCGTAAGGCAAATGAAATTTTTAATGTTTTAATTTACTTATTTTTCATTAATAAAATGAAAACTAATTAAATATATTATCTAGTAAACGGAGGAAGTTCTAGATTAACTTTTTTCCCCCCTTTTCATTCATTCAAAGCAATAATAAACAACAAATAAATGTCATAAATTAATATTTGAGACTCCACTTACTGAGAATCAAAATCAAATGTTTTATTTTTTACAGGGTATTCACATCAGAAGGCCCATATGCCATTTAGCCTTAATTGAACCATCCATTTGGTATCGTCCCAAATTGTTTTTAGAGTCAATCAAATGGCATTTGGTAAGTTTCATTTGTTTGCGTTTTTTTATCATTTCTCATTAAGTTTATAAATCGATTAGAAATGGTCAAATAAAGCCGCTCTATTCCCATTATACATTCGCTGACGAAGACAAGGTCGATGCGGCTGGGAGTGCTATATAGAATCATGTGCTTATCATTTGTTTGTCGCGCTCGATAATCAGTTTTCAAATTGAAAGTCAATCAGGGAAAACGGCAATTCGCGTTGCATGTTTCACATGACACGAATATATAATCAGATAAATACGAGCGTACATATAATTAATTGCCAGTGGAAAAAATAAAAATGAAGTTGAACAAAACACATTTTCAGAAAATTACATGCTCTGTTTTGGTTTATTACGCATAAGAGTATAGTACACAATCGTTATTAAATGTATATATGTATATATAATGTCTAATGCCGCGTGCAGTTGAGTTTACATTAGTTCGATTTGTATTTGGCTTTTGTTCTTTTGATATTATTAACAAGAGGCTATCAAAAATAGTTGGTACTGTGTGCTGCAGCATTCGGCATTAGTTTATAAATATACATATTTAGAAAATACTAAAGCACTACAACATATAAATCTTCTTCTGCTTTCCAATACATACATATTCATATATATATATATATTTGCATATAGCTGGACAAGATTTACAATTATCAATAATTTTTAACATGCACTCGCTTGCAGTTGTGTGCCGAGGTAACAATAATAGTTTAATAATAGCGCTTAACAATCAATGCTTGACTTCTTCTAGTTTTTAGCCATAAATCAGTTATACAAAAATCTAGGATTTGGCAGGCATATTTAGTGGTAGTTGCGCTTGCACTTGCTTGCCCTCTGAGAAGAGAAATCAAATAAAATATCTACTTAGTTCTAAAGCTAAACACTGAGATTACATAATGCCAGGAAACCGCTAGTAAAATCATTGCAACATTCGCCAATACGAATTGGGTGGGCGCCTCGCCAAGCCTCGCCTCGCCTCGCCTCGCCACCTTTCACCTTAGGATGCCAGTCCGCGCTGACGTCGCTTGACGCGCGCATATGGGCCCACAGCGGGATCCATCACGAAATCGTAGAGCACACGCGTCCAGCTGGTGTGCTGTGGCATCGTCTCGTAGAACTCCTTGGCGATGCGTTTCACCTCCGGCAGCCGTGAGCCGGGCACTGACGGAAAATCGTGATGCTCATTGTGATAGCCCACATTGAAGGTGATCCAATTGAGTGGACCGTAATATGAGTATGTCTCAAAGCCCTTGGCAAACATATAGTGCTCCGATATGAAGTGCCCGGCCACCGGATGCAAGCCCATGGCCAATATCGAGCCAAGCAGCAGATATGCCATCGCCTTCCAACCGATGAAATAAACCACAGCCGCATTGAATGTCAGCTGTATGATCGTATTAACTATCTCCAGACGTGTCGGCGGTTTCGGGTTCACCACCAACGGACGGAATATGTAGAAGAACGGCTGCAGGCAGACCCACACAAATTTGCCAAACGTCGTATCGAATAGTCGCGCCTCCAGCAATGTGGGTATATCCGTATCAATCACTTCATCACCTTGATAACTGTAAGTGAATTAAGAGTTGTGATTGGGTATTAGTGGGATTATTTGAATGATTTAAGTTAAGTATAGAAATTATACATAACAATTTTATTTATTTAGAAGTTAGATTTCATATGAATTAAAGTAACGGTCTTTGGATTGATTACAAATTGTATTGATCTTAAAACCAATTTAAGAAGAGATTGAATCCTTATCTAGAAAATTTCTTTTAGTTTCAGAAGTATGCATTTGTTATATTATACATATTCATATTCTTCCTAGAGCACTCTAAGTTTGTCTTATAATTCTTAAATGCATCGGTTTCATCTCTAGAAGCAATTTAATACTAAATTAAAAGTAATTAAAATACGATTTCTTTTCTATTACTTCTTTATTGGATATAAAATACTACAATTTTTACTACGTTTATTTACGTTTTTTTTTATCTCTAATCTCGAATAATTCTTTAACGAACATATTTGTGGCTATCTTTATATACGTTTTATAAACATGTTTTTGATAATCTCTTAGCGATACACTATCTAGCATTTATCTAAAATGTATTATATAAATCAGTTAGTTGTTGTCTCTTAAACAACACGTAAAACAATTGAAAATTGACGTTCTAATTATGATTGATGTGGGGAAACTACAGCGCATGGCAACAGCTTTAAATGAAGTACTATCTTTTAATTATGTATGTCATTAGTATTATCAAATGAACCCATTAGGATTCCAAAAATTGTGAACACTCAAGTGTTTGTGTTTTCCAGGAAGTTGTAAGAAATTTTATAGTACTAGAATAGCATAAAATATGGAATATGTCTTGGATTCACTAAAAACTGTTTGCTAGATTTCTAGTTTCTTGCTTTATCAGTTGGATGTAGGGCCATAAACAAGGCATTCAAGTAACTAATAGATTAGATAAACGCGACCCACTAATTATTAACACCTGGCTGCCAGACGTACGTGAGCCACTATGATTCGCCATGTGACTCAATTTGGGGTTATCAAAGAATAAAAATAAAAATGCAACGTATGTGAATTATGGTCCAGACCATGGTCAGATTAGCGCTGTTAATAAAATCAATTTTAAAAACAGCTTAGGCATTAAAAATAATAAATAATATTTTTGATTAGATGTTCATAAAATGTCCGTTAAATAATTTATGGTTTTACATCAAAATGTTAATAACAGAGAAATGGCAAATGAAAAGTATTCAAAGAGTTAACAGAATCATGTAAGGCAATGCCTCTGTAACTTAACAGTGAAGAATTATGAAAGTACTTCAGATTTAAGTTTATAGCAGATAAGGCGACCTTCAAAGTAGATTGGATAATAAAAGTAGAATGTAGTCTGATTATATAGACAAGAAAAAGAATTTTGATATTTCTGAAGTGCTTGGCAAATAAATCAATTACTGCATGGTCGATGAATTGGCGTTCGACCGGCTTGCCGAAGTGCCGGCATAAATTGCACACCAAAACCAAACACAGGTCGAGCGAATGACTCAGATGGGGGTACGAAGCAAACACAAACTTTTCCACATAACAAACAAATAAATAAATAATAAAGTGTGACTGGGTACGTGACCAATTGGAAACGTTATTCAATTACGTAGCTTCTGATATGCATAAAATACTTAAACCATATAAACTTTCAAATCTTATCGCAATTATTAACGTGCATATCGGCATATACGCGAATCCCCTTCAATTAGATTGTATTTGCTGTTGACTCACAAATGTCGCTGTTTTGAAGGGAAATATAATTTCAAACACTTTGCATAGTCTTTTTACAGCTATTTCCCTAAACCTATACTTAAACGTTGATTAGCTATTGAGCAAGAGAGAAAGAAAGAGGGAGAGCGTGAATGGGAAGGGAAATTTGCGCAGAGCGCGTTTTTATTGTTTTTGTTAGTGTTGCAAAACGCCCCTGCCGGTCTAGTATGTGTGTAGGCAATCTTCTAAAGGCGACGCCCCAAAAACAAATACATATGAGCAGAGATTTAAATTCGCTATATATACATATATATATGTATAGTAGACAGCCGGCACATAGCGCACAGAGCGCATGAGTCTGTGTCTGTATATATGTATGTATATACATGTACACATAACGTCATCAAATCAACAGTCGTCGTTCCAGCTTACCGATGATGCTCCAAGTGATATTTTTTGAACGAAATGCTCATGGGCAGTCCTATAGGCAAATTGCAAAAGAAGCCAAAGATTCGATTGTGCATGGGCCGGCTGTGGCCAAATGCCAAATTGTGGGATATTTCGTGCACGGCCAGCATTAGCGAATGATTCAGAATGCCGCCAAAGCAATAGGCTAATGCCAGTAGCCACGGCCACGACAGGTCCTTGACAATGAACAGGGCCAGTATTTGGGTCAGTACCATCGCACCGGCTACCCATTTAAAGTTGGGATCGTGGCCAAAGAGTTTCTTGATTTGCGGATATTTCTCGAGTATGATTTTGCGACGCGAGGCATGCGGCTCTTCCGTATAAACCCATTCGAAATCGTTGCGCGACACTTTTTGTCCCATTTTAAATTTGAGTTATGAATTTAGTAATTTCTGCTGTTGCGCTATGTCGATTAGCTGTTATTGTCGTGTATAATGTCAACTTAATTCCAGCTGATTGTCATTATCGACTGATGTAGGTATATCTGTAATATTTTCCGTTTACCAGCAGCGGCGGCAACGCGACGTTCGCAAACTGAGAACTGTAAATGAAGCCGCACTAGAAACAATTCAGAGCAGACACCCGCATACAAATTAGTGTTGCTAAACACTTAAAGACCTCATGAATGCTTTTCTAAATATATCGATAACAGAATTCAATTTGCTGACAGCGCTGCCAACCCACTGCAATCAGACAACTAAAAATTCGGTGCCTTTGAAAACTCACAGGTGTTGAATTGCAATTGCCTCCGCTCTGCACATCTTTTTACCTGCCGAAAGCCAAATTAAGTACACATAGCAGCTGCCATTTTTGTTAGCCAGTTTATACAATAATTTATAATTGTTTTGTGTAGTAGTACATTTTGTAAATTTTGTATTTCAAATAATTTCTTTAAAACTATGCTCAATAAACTGATGAAGCTTTTACTAATGTGCTGTTGATATGCACAGACTTTCGCTTGCAATTGTCGCATGTTTTTGTTTTCAGCTCTGTGCTGTGGCGTGTACATATGTGTGTCTGTGTATGTGTGGGTGGATGACTGTGATGTCACTTGGCTGATTGATCAGCTGCTGTTATTTTTAGCCTGTGTCTGTAATCTATTTAAACATAAAATTGTGTACATATATTTTGTATATTGTTTTTTTAATATATTTTATCAATAGTTCTAGAAAAGGCTAAAACAATGTTGTTGTTGTTGATGCTGCTGCACACACAAAAATATCGAAAGATGTTGTACTCGAGTTGTTGTGTTTGTTTTCTATCCCAGTTTTAGCGTTTATATAGTTTAGACTTGCTGTTGCTGTTGTTTGTTGCTTGTTGACGACGCAGTGTTTAAATATCTGATGTTACAGCTGTTCTACTTCTGTTGGTTTGGTTGGTTGGTTTAGGAATTTATTGAGGATTAGAGCAAAGCGCCAGCCAGCGGATGTTCTTGTTGTTGTTGCTGATAGGATTTGATGGTTGGATGTTGATTCTCTTGTTGTYGCCTTGCCGATGCAGCTGTTGTTGTTGTTACTCCTGCTGTTTGTATTCTTGTTTAAATAAATATTTAATTTTAATTCTCAAGTTCTTATTATTCTTGTTTTTCGTTTTTAATATATTTTGCGCACTTTTCTCGCAACTCCTTGCTGTAGAAGAGCTCACTCACTTTTTCTTGTTTTATTTTGTATTAATTTTCTTAATTTTTTTTTTTTTTTGCTCAACAAAATATTTAAATCAAATCGGCAATATTAGCAGGCATTTCCTCAATAGTAGTGTGATAGAATTGTTCAATATCCTTCAGGATTCGTCGATCATCATCAGTAATGAAGTTGATCGCAACACCCTTACGACCGAAACGACCACCGCGACCGATTCTAAAATTGAACAGGAATTTATAGTTTTAGATTGGTGATGGATTTTGATGGATATATATATAATTTACCTATGAATATAGTTCTCGCGATTCGAGGGCAGATCGTAGTTGATGACCAACGATACCTGCTGCACATCAATACCACGCGCCAATAAATCAGTGGTAATCAGAACACGGGAAGAGCCCGAACGGAATTGTTTCATGATGATCTCACGATCGCGTTGCTCCATGTCACCATGCATGGCCGACACCGTAAAGTTGTGGCTAGTCATTTCCTGGGTGAGTTGATCGACCTGATGGGTATAATGGATATTGAAACGAATTAGAAATCAAGTCAAGTCAATAACTGCGCCAAAGCGTCAGGCATCAGGTGTGCTTACCTTGCGACGGGTATTACAGAAGATAACCGACTGGGTAATGGACAGCGTATCGTACAGATCGCACAATGTGCCCAACTTCCAGTTCTCCTGCTTAACGTTCACGTAGAACTGCTTGATACCCTCAAGGGTCAACTCCTCCTTCTTCACAAGAATGCTAACTGGCTCACGCATAAAGCAACGGCTCACTTCGAGCACATCGGGTGGCATGGTGGCTGAGAGCAAGATCACTTGCACATCTGGTGGCAGCATCTTGAACACATCCTGGATTTGATCCTTGAAGCCGCGCGACAACATCTCATCGGCCTCATCCAGCACGAACAACTTGATGTACTGCGTGCGCAACACCTTGCGGTTGATCATGTCATACACACGACCAGGTGTGCCAACCACCACATGGCAGCCGGATTCCAAAATGCGAGCATCCTCGCGCACATTGGTGCCGCCAATGCAGGCATGCGAATGCACCTTCATGTACTCTCCAAGTGCCATAACCACACGCTGAATTTGGGTGGCCAACTCGCGAGTGGGTGCCAAGATCAAAGCTTGGCATTCGCGAATGGACGTGTCGATTTGCTGAAGAATGGCAATCGAGAAGGTGGCAGTCTTGCCAGTACCTACAAGCGATGGGAAACAAAAAGACAAGTTTTAATATTTGGTGAAGAATACAAATCATAGAGACTAAAAAAGATAAGAATTTATAATATTATAGAATCTATAATATATATAGTTGTCCAAATGGCATCATTGTATAATCTTTAGCTGAACAGAAAGTTGAGTTGGTTTGGCATTGTTTATTAACACAAGATCTTCATAAGTTACATAATTCAGTGAATTCTACACTAAAAAGACGATAGACTAGAGGCATATTTATCTGTATAATATATTATGCAACGCAAATTGCCGAACAAAAAGATTTTCAGCTAAAGATTAATATGTTATATGATTTAGCTGTGTAGTTTTTTTTTTTTCTTTATGTCTATATTTATACTCTTTTTAACATATGATATGGAAACAAACCCAAGAACTGAATAACTTTTCCCTCCAAGTATATTTGTCCAATCTTTCATAATTGTGCTACATAGCTTAGTGCAGATAAAACAAGCTTTAACAAGAAAAATAAGAATCTATATTTAATAATATATTACATAATTAAGCTCAACTTTTGTTTATTGTTTCTAATTTTCTCGATCGACATAAACAAAAATAAGAGATTTCTCTCTAATTTTTGGACTTCGTGGTCAAGTTAAAAAATTGTTAACAACAATTTTTAACTAGATATAATCTTTGTACTCTTCTCTTTGGTTTTTGAGCTTGTTTTGCATATACTTGAACTCTTTTTAAAATAAGCATTCAAAACAAAAATAAGAACTACAAAAAATCGCCAGCTACGTAAATTAATCAGTTTAAAACGCTTTCACTGCAAAACTCTGCCTTGATCTATGTAGAAGATACTCCAAATTAATTGCGTTTTTAGCTAACATATACTTGCATATATGTACATACAAATACATACACATATACATATATATGTTGTTTTTCATTTTTGTGTTGAGTATAAGCAACGCCGTTCTAGAGAACCTAAAAACGCGGCAAAGACGATCGCAAAAGTGGCGCGCAAGCGCTCAGCAGTAGACTGGGAGAGCATAAGAGTAGGGAAAATGCATATGTATTAGTGAGAGTTTCAAACGAGAGAGCGAGCACAAGCTGATGTTGCAGTAGACAGCTGAGTCACCGTTATCGTCGTCATACGYTGCTGCTGCTGCGCTCGCTGCGCCCTCATAACAGAAAATAAAAAAAAAAAATTTCTACACTTTCACATTAAAGCAAAAATTTGTTTTCATTTTTTGTTTTCTATATGAATTACTCACCCGATTGGGCCTGGGCAATGACATCGCGACCCTTCACGCAAGGAATGATAGCGCGCTGTTGAATGGCCGATGGCTTCTCGAAACCATAGCCATAGATGCCGCGCAGCAGCTCCTCGCGCAAGTTCATGTCATCGAAATTATCGTAGACTTCATGCCAGGTCGACTCGATGACGCCCTCAGGGTCCATACCAGCGGGACCATCTTGAGGTATTTCACTTCGATCATCCCTATGGAAAGACAAACGAAAATAAAATGAGAATAGAACATAAAAAATAAAACACAAAACGATGTCAGTAATGCAGTAAAATTAAAAATTTTCTTTGCAACGCTTTTTTCGTTTTTTTGGTTATGGCGAATCTGCGCTTGGCAACCAAGGTAGCAAAAACGACGACAAAGACAGGTCGGTGGTGACAGCGGCGTTTAGCCAGCAGGCAGCAGGCAAAGCAGGCGAGCTGGCCCAGCAGCAGCGTCAACGGTGGCGGCGGAAATAATAACACTTACATTATCAACAATAAAAAATTGACTAGTTAAATTTGTATACTGAATTTCGACGGCTTTAGCACCGTTCAGTTAAACAATTTCTGTATTAGTTGTGTCAAAAAATTTGTAACGAAAATTTTTTTTCTACAGAGTGCACACAAACGTGTTTTGTTGTGCGTGCTGCTCTGCGGTATTTTCACGATTGCGAGCGAATGCCAGTGTGAGTTTTAACGACCGCTAGGCGGCCTTTTGAGAGCGTCTGTCGAGTGTGTGTGTGCGAAAGAGTACACTAGATGTGTCAATGTCAGTGGTTGCTCAGTTCATGTGAGTGTGTGTGCGTTAGAGCAGTAGAAAGCTATCAACTCTTAACTGCAGTGTTGCATGTGCGTAGTACTTGGGAAATAGTAGCATAAAGTAGGCAAAAAAAAAAAGGTACTAAACATTGAAGCTGGTAAGAAAATAGTAAGCCAACAGGCAATTTTAAGGCGTGCGTTTCAACCACTTGCAAGAGCGAATTATTGCATAGAGGGTGAGGTTGAGAAGAGCAGAGAGTAAAGCAGCACAGCACCAAGATTCTGTGAAATCCCCGCATTATTCAAATATATGTATATTCCACAAATATTTGTGTTAGATATAAATATGAATAAATAGTTGGCGATAGCAGCGTTGGCATTGGATCGCTTTAGGTAGTCATTGTCCATTTTAATGTCCAGTCAGTGCCTATGAGTCAAAGTATGTGTCAGATTGCGTGCGTGTGAGAGAGAGAGGGAGTGAGCGAAATGTATTATATTGCAATGATTTCATTGTTGCTGCGATCCAGACGAACTTATTTTTTGCAAAGCAATAAACTCATTTGACCTCGCGAAACTCAGTAGGTGCTGTATTTTCTTTGTTATTTATTAAGCCTGTGTCATTCCAAAAGAAAATACATATATAAGTATATATCTTTGACCCAACACACACCATCAACAACCACTGAATTCTCTCTTGTTCATATTTTCGCTCTCTCTCTCTCTTCGTCAATGCCAGTCACTCGTGCCGCAACGTCCGCCGTCGTCGTGTAAAAATTCTTTTTGATTTGTGTTTCACATTTTGGGTTAAATTTTCGAATGCAAATTTTAGTACTATTGCTCACTTAAACTGGCTTAATTTTGTCAGCAAAATTTTGCAAACTGCCTTGGTTAATTGTATTTCACGTATTATGAATTAAATCGTTAAATAATACTAACATTTTCTGATTATTTTTTGGCACTTTTTATACACGTGCTGCTGATTGTTAAAACCAAGCAAAAGAGGCTCCATCTTGCAAAACTTTTAGTGATGTAAGGAAAGCATACCAGTTATCGATATATCAAGCTTCAACTATCGAATTCTTCCACACGATTTTACATAGACTACAAAGGGCGTGCTCATTTAAAAAGTCTTGTATTTATTTTTGTTAATATATATTGCATATTTTGTGAAATATTTTAAAAGGTTAAGTGTTAAACTAACTACAGCAACCATCGATATACAAACATCATGTCATACGTGCTGCCATTCGATAAAAAACAATGCATATGAAATTAACACAATACAAATTTGTCCATCCCGACTCCTTTAATATAAAGAATTTATTACTTATAAAGTTATCAAAATCATTTTTACCTATATGTATATCGATCCTACTACTATCGAACTACAGTATTTTCTATTCGTGCATTTGGTATTTGTAAATATATAGTTAAATTAATTTTGATGTGAATAATATAAACTAATACTGTATTAATATGAGTAGAATTTCAGAAGCAATTAACTTATTTTACAAAATAATACTGTTGGTTTTTAACCATACTATACTATATGTATCGAATATAAATTCGCCGTGTAGTACAATCGCGATATGAAAAAAAATCGATTTTCCTATATTATCGATGTTTCTAGTTGCCTACAGTCAGTATAATTTCATCGCCGCATCGTACAGCGTGTGAAAAGTGTGAGTTAGCTTTGAATTTTAACAAATTAAGCGTATTAAATAAAAATTGCTTACTGTGTGCCTATTTCAATCCATGTTTGTGTGTCCAGCAGTCATAGTAACAACAACAATGTAAGCAGCAAGGCGTAGTTTCAATTAAATGTCAAGTTACAAATGAAAGGCCGACTCACTCACACGCATACACTCACATATGCGTGTATTCGCCGACGGCGTTGGCTGTGCGCATATGTATATACACACATATATTGGTGTATGTATATAAAAGTGTGCAAAAAAGAAATGAAAAAGTTAAGCAGCCGGTCGGTGTCTTGCTGCCATTGCAAGTATTAGGTCTTTATCGTCCAAAATTGGTGCCTGGCCTTGCGATTTTGTTTTATTTTCGATGGGGTCTTTGTTGAGTTGACTTTTCAGAAGATATAGATAAATATAAAAATTGTTCGTATATATACAAAGAAATCTACATTTAAAAATTTTGAAAATCTATTTTTAATTTATGATTGACCATCGTCGTCGGCTACTCGACCGGCCAGAAAAACACTCAAGCTGCGCCAGAAAAGGCCGATTCATAACACACATATATACACACACAGACGCATATATATATACTCTCTTAGAAACAGGCAAGGAGACTTGAGACTGTTGAGTCATCGCCTGCTCTCACTCACTCATTTGCATTGCGCGACCGGCGATTTATAACGGCCATATATGCCATTTCACTCGCACACAAACTCCAGCGCACAGTTTTGGCATTGCACTCACCGAGTGAAAAATCGGTGGGTGAGCGCCGATTGCCAAGCGTCGGCGGCGGCGGCAGCTGTGACTCACGCGCGCTCTGAGTGATTTTTTCTTCTCAATTTTCCATGCTTGGAGCCACTAAACAACATTTTGCATTCAATCGTTTTTGTCATTCTGTGCAAGTCGGACGTGTTGGGGCTGCTGCTGCTGCTACGTACGTTTACCCTCTGTTCAGAGTGTGTTTGTGTGTGTGTGCTATCTCTCGTTGGATGTGATAGTGTGTGTGCGCTTTTTTTGAAGAAACAGCAAATTAAAATATATATATGTATATAAAAAAGAAAGAAAAGAAAGAAGTATGCACTGCTTTTCGAGTCTCCCATTAAAAATCGACTGATGCGACGCACAAACCAAAAAAAAAAAATCGCAAAATTTCACATTTTTATCCAAAGGAGTAAAATTTAAAATCGCCAAATTATCGTTAACTTCACCTTATATCTATCTATTTTCTACCCTCTCTCATTGCAGTTTAAATTAGTTTCCTTAAACAAATTACGTAGAAAATCGACGATTTTCTCACTCTCGCTTAACTAAATTTCTTAGTGGCGTGAATAGTGTATAACAACAGCAAAAAAAATTTGAACAAGCAACGCGTGTGTGTAAAATACATAATACCCTATATTTAATAGTTTTTAACAACCACAACAACAAATACAACAACAAACTACAATCATGAGCTGGCAAGATTATGTCGATAACCAACTTTTGGCCTCGCAGTGCGTTAACAAGGCGTGCATTGCCGGACACGATGGCAACATTTGGGCGCAGTCTAACGGCTTTGAGGTGAGTACTGTTAACCGTTAATACCATTCAGTTCACAAATCTTGCCCAGAACATAACTTTGTCTTTGGAATCGGCTTTTCGACACTGAATCTTTTCTTTACCAAGTTCAAGGGTGTGACCAGCAGAACCAGTGTATCCTCACACACACACACACACACACACATGTATATACATGCACAGCAACAGCTCCCACTCACACAAAGAGAGCGACAATAGTGTTAGGCAAAAGTGTATACCCCAGGCGGACTTTTTCTTCAATTGGTCACATATACGTACATACGCAGAGCAGCAGCAGCACCCACTCACACAAAGAGCACAATATTGTTAGCCAAAAGTATATACCCGAGGAGGACCTTTCCTTTAATTGCTCCAGATGAAATGAATTTCAGCAGCGAACAAACATTCCAAATTTCTTATATTATTGACATTAAATTAACAAACTCTTTAAATGTAGAATTTTATTTTGATCAATTTTAGTAATTCCAAAAACATTACAAATTTAGTATAATATTGGCATACTTGGAAATTGACAAATTTGTCAAATGTCAAAACTTGTTTTGTTTAATTTTTAAGACTTCAAATTTCAAGTGTGCAAAGGCTATCTAAAAAAAAGAAATGATATTAACACAAAATCAATAGCATACCAGATGAATCTTTACGGGCATTACGAAATATTTTAAAGTATTATTTCAATAATTTATTTGTTAATTTTCGTACATTTAGCATGTTTTCAATTTCCTTTTGGGTTTTCGATACTTTTCGCTGGGCCGTCCGCCATTTATACTTTTATTTCGTTTGATAAAGCAACTCCCACCCTCTATGGGTGTGCACCCCCTGCAAGAGCGCTCTCTTGCAATTGCTTTCTCTTTCTCTCGCCTCTCTTCAGCTGTCACCAACACAGCCGATTGCGCAGCTCTCCACCGCTCAGCTTCAGCCTCTCAACCGTCTGTCTCAGTCACCCACATATACAAACGCAAAAACTTAACAAACAAAAGAAAAACAAAAAAAGCATCCTAAGTGACTGTAAAACTTTTGGGCAGTAGCTATCAAACTGGCTGATAAGAAACTAGCCGAGATGCTGTCAGAGAAGTTAATTATTTATAGCGCAATTAGGCACATCTGGACAGATTGGTTTTGGGTTGGGTTGCTTTGCATTATCAGAAGCACAAATTTCGATTAATTTGTGAGTCATCTGCTCAGGTGGATTAGTCACTCAATTGAGCGTTGAGCCAGAGATGATTCGTCATTTGGAGTGCATTTGATGAAAGGTGTTTGCTTGCACTAACTGAGCGCGCTGTCTTTGTCTGCGAATATAAATACATATATGTATATTATTAGGGATGTGTGTATGTGCCTGAGTTATTTCTCATAGCGGGTTGGCCACCGGCACCCAGCTCGAGTATTTGTGCACTTTTCAACACTGATGTGATAGCGGTGCGTTGTTTTTCCCCTGCGCGCACTCTTTTTCTTACTGAGCTCAGATGAAGTATAAATAGAGAGAGGCTCGGAGAAAGAGTGAAATAGAGAGAGACATTGCCCTTTTACGCGGCTCACCGCTCGACGCATATCATAAAATAACTAGCCGGCCTTATTTGCTCTTATCAACATACACACACAAACACACATGTACACAAAGCACTTCACTCAATAGATTGATATGCACATGTGTGTGTTTATTATCTTTGTTTCCTCTGCAGGCAAAAAAACATTTTTTTATCACTAAAATAATGAAAAAAAAAAAAAAAAAAAAAAACTAAACGCGCAAGTTTCGACTTGATTGGAAGTGAAACGAAAGAAGAAATGTATCTCGAAAAAAAAACGCAGCGGCCACAGTGCCGCGTCATCAGCGTCTACAACATATTTTATATGCGAGCCACGTTTTCGCATTTACTTTATATGTGTATGACTGGATGGGTGTGTGTGTGAGTGAGTGAGTTTGTGCAACTTCCTGCTGACTCCTCATACTTTGTCCTTTGTTTGTGCGTCTGTTGCGCCCCCCATTCATGCTTGATTTTTTTTTTTTTTTTTAATTTTCTGTTCCATTCTTGTCCGTCTTTGCCCAGGGGTGGGGCCGTGGGACACTCCCCTGCTTGTGTTTTGTAATATATCAGTTTCTTTTTGCGAATAATATCGATAATTCTTTCATCGATTTGAATAATTTTTGTGCAAAATTTACTTACTCTAAAAAGATTGAACTAAATGTGAACTAGTTCCGAACGATACTCAAAATTTGCTGCTTCTGCACGAATGAATTAATTGTTAAAAAAAAAAGTAAATATAATTTCTTAAGCCTCGGGTAAAAGTGATACTTTTTTTATATAAATATTTTAGTTGCCATCATCATCATCGTCATCGTCATCGTCAACGTCAACAGCAGCTACAACCTTCGTTTTTTGGACATTTGTTGTGTTTGCAATTCTCCACACGGTTTTCGCGTACATCCATGAATCTCACTTTCATTTTGTGGTTTGGCCTCCGTTCGATGTTATGTATTTGACTTTTTTTTTTTTTTTGCCTTTGTTGGTGTTTTACGTGTATTGTTATTTATTTTTTATTTAATTTGTGGCTTATTGCTTTCGCAGTTACTTACTATGTTCGCCTAGCTGAGTTACCTATATTTGTACCTGAATTTGTTTGGTTTGTTATATATATTTGTAATCGTGATTCATTGCAAAATTTGTTAGTAATTTATTTGAATTAGTATCAGCTGCTGTTTGGCATTACCAGATTGTTTTTTTTTCTTATTTATTTTTTTTTATTTTTTTTTTCTTATTTATTTTTATGTTTGTGTGCTTGCTTGTGTTTGGCAGCGGTTTTCGAGCCATAAGTTCTTGACTCTTATCAATAACGTTTCTTTACGTATTATACTTTGGTTTTCAGTTTCGTGAAATATACACACAAATGGAGCGTGCCATAAAAACCGGCTGCTTTATAAGTACAAAAATATATATAAGAATATATATCAAAATTTTTGTTTTGCTTTATTGCACTTAAAAATAAGTCATTTATTTCCTTTTCTGTTGCGGCTAGACAGCAGAAAAAAATCATTCGCTGTAATTGTTGTTTTTGTGGTCATTGCCTTGTCTATTTGCGTGCATTTCTGAAAGTAATTGAGTGATTTTGATTAATTTATTAAACATTTTTGGCATACCTACAGCTTTGTTTGCAAAACCGGCTTTATGAACTCAGCTATCTCTCTTTCGCTCTTTGTCTCTAATTCACTCCATCACACACTCGCACACATACGAATACACTCAAACGTTTACGCTCACATTGGAAACTTCTGGAAAGTTTTTTTTTTTTTTTGGCAAAATTCTCTCTTTTGGTCTCTCTCATTCTCCCCTCGAGTGTCATTAACATATTGGCCGCATGTGCCGCAACAACAACTTAACAAATGACTAATTATTAATCATATCGTATCTATTGAAATCTATTAATTTTATTCGCGAACTTTCGTGGCGCTTGGTATCGTGAAGAGCGGGAGAGAGGGCATATTGCAAACTATTTTGTCCTGCAAATGATGTTAATACAAATTTTGCTGGGACAAAGTGGCAACTCCGCCCTGTGGGGAAGTGTTGGCAAACTAGTTTTTGCTTATTACAACTACAAAATCAAGGCAAACGGTCAGCCGTTCCTTACTTGTTGTTGTTGTCGTCCGTGGTGTTGCTGTTGCTGCAGCAGCGGCGTGTTTCGCATTTTGTTAATGAGCTGGTATTCGTCTTGGTCGCCGTCGTCATCTTCATTTCATGGGTGGTGAATGTAGGCAGTGGTGGGTTTTTTACGCTCTCTCGCTCCCTCCTAGTAGGCTTTAGCCTGTTTGAGTGGGCTGTTGCTGATTATAAAATGAATGTGTTTTAAGCTGACGCACGACTCACTCCCTGTGATATTGTGTTTCTTTGTAAGGACACAACAACTCAGGATGCATAAATTTAAAATATTTATGGCACGTGTGCGTGCCGCATGCCTCGTAATGGCATACATACATATGTATATCTATATTATTTTTTTCTTATACTTATAAATCCGAATTCCAATTTAATCTTGTGTCTTTGTTTTTATTTCTGTGCAGGTCACAAAGGAGGAGCTGGCCAAATTGATAAGCGGCTTTGATCAACAAGACCTGCTTACCAGCAACGGTGTGACATTAGCCGGCCAACGGTACATTTACCTCTCAGGCACAGATCGCGTGGTGCGCGCAAAACTGGGCAGAAGCGGTGTGCACTGCATGAAGACGACACAAGGTGAGTGAAAAATGAAAAGAAAATCAAGTCAGAGTTGCCAACTGTCTGGAGAGATTTGTTGATATGTTTGCTGTTGAGTATGTGTGGTACTTTTGTTTAAGGAAATTATTTCGGGTAGTATATTTGTTTGCTGTTAGGTATAAGCAGTATTTTTAAAGGATTTTTATTTATTTATTTATTTTTTAAATATAAATTCTATTCTATTCTTCATACCTCCTGTGGAATATATGAGGTACTTTTTTAAGATTTTTAAGTTGGAGAATATATCAGAAACGTTAACATGAACTGTTATTGTTATCAGCTTTGTTTTCTTTTTATATTATTTATTTTTTGCAATACTTTGTGTGTATGAATAATGTATAGAGGTGCAAAGCATTTAATCTCAAGATAAGTGTTTCGACTTTGCGACTTTAAGAGTAGCCTAAAGCTCTAAGAATGTTGATAAGCATTTAACATTTACGTTGTTGGATATTTATATTTCCTATGCATCTGAATGATGAGCGAAGTGCAAGTGCAAGTGAAAAACAAATAACACCCAGAGCAGAGCAGCAGAGCGGCAACAGAGTCGACGATTTACATGTGTGGAAAATGTGCAGTTAATGTGCTTCCATAGTGTGCCACGTAACAACAGCAATGAACGTAACGAGCTGTAAATTATAGGCAATCATTACGTGCCGCTGCAGTTTGTTGCTCCATTTTTCCGGTCAACTGGTGGCACCTCCTGTGATATATAAAAACATTCATATACTATATACTCAGACAAAGTAAACTGCGGTAACGTTTCGTTTTTCAGTCAAGTTTGAAATAATTTTGTTTGTATTATTCTCATTTAAAAAATAAAGTTTTTTTTATCATTAAAAAGAATATATTTAGTATCATTATTATTATTTATGAATATTATTATATTTTATTTTGTGCCTTACACCTTGTGCATAAAATAAATAAATATATATATTTTTGTTTTGGTCGTGAAAACTCTAGAAAGCAGCTGAGATCATGTGTGTGTGTGTGTGCCTGTGTGTGTGAGTGTCGTGAAACTAAATTTGTTTTGCAGCTTGTTTGTCGACGTCGTCTTCCATATTTGTCTAGTTTGATATATGTGTTAATGTGTATCTGTGTGTATGCGTGTACATATACATCTATCTTTTTTTTGCGGCAACTGTTGCGCAGCGTTGCTGCCCGCTGCCCGCTGCAGCAGCCGCCACAAAGCTCAAGGTTATTGCCATAATCCATTTCAAGTGCAAATGTTGCACAGAATAAGCCGCAAAAGCAGCAGCAAAAGCGAGCAAGTAACATATAAATGGAAATAGGCAAACAAAAAAAGGCATAAAATGGAAATAGGCAAAAAAATAAAAAATAGGCATAAAATGGCAAACTGGTCGCTGCTCTCTCATTCTTTTTCTGCCTGTCTCGCTTGTGTTGACCTAGCGGGCAGCTAGTATGTAGTAGTGTGTTGGTGTGTGTATGTGTTGGCGCCTGGATTAGGCTCTTTGGCCACTTGCTTTGACTTTATTTGGCATTAAATTTGAGCTCTTCGAGGCTGGGCTTTGTTGCTTAGCACTTGAACAGCTGATAGCGCACAGCTTAATATCGATTAAATTACCTGGTACTGCATTTACCGCAAATTACACGCTGCTCAAATGGCCATCGCATTAGCAGTGTTTCTCTGTGTGTGTGTGTTTGTTTATAGCAATTAAAATGCGCGTATAACAGCGCGTTTAAACTGTAATACAACTTGATATGCTTGTTTAATATAACAGCAAGTAGTTGTAGTACGCTTGAAATATTTCAAGGCATGCGGCGCAAAATTTGTGTAATTAAATATGAAATGAAATGTAATATTAGCATTCTGTTCGCTATCAGAGAAACAAGGCAGGCACATTAACAGCATTTTTATCGCGCAATCATCAGTTATCGATTGCCATTATTGTGCGTCCTCTGCCGCTGCCCCTCTGGTGTGTGGGTGTTGCCAGCCAGTTGGGCAAGCAGGACTGTGAGTGAATGTCAGTGTGTGTGTGTCTGTCTGTCTGTCTATGCTTGTATATGTTTACCTCGCTTGCTCTCTTCTTCGTCCGCGACATGGCACTTAACTTTTGGTTTATTGACCCCAGTTGGAAATTTGGTTGGCTTTGATTTGATTTGCTTGGAGCGTCAATCAATTGGGTTAACAACAATTTGCTGCACAATTGATTAATGTAGTAAGCCGGGTAGGCCAGACTGGCAGACAGCCAGACAACAGCCACAAGCATCCACTTGACTTCGACTTGAGGCGCGATTCGTTTACATTTCATCAGTATTTCAATGTAAGTTGCCGACTGTTTGGCAGCCTGGTAGAATTGTCATTCAATATTGTGTTGTGGCCGGTCTGTCCGGTTTTCACCTGGTCCACAGTCTTTCTCTCCCTCGCTCCTCTCTCTGTTTGCTCTCCACGCTCTTTTATTGAGCGTTTTATTCATAATTTTCTTGCTGCTGATGTTGTGTTAAATACAGTTAGTTCTTGTTTCTCTATTGCTGCTTGATGCCGTTTGCTTTCTCTATTTCATTCGTTTCTCTGTGTGCTGTATTGTCAACCGGATAAGCAGCTGAAGATGTTAGTGTGAGTGTGTATGCGTATGCCCCTCTCTCTCTCTGTGTGTGTGTAATTATGTAGCCATGTTGAAATAGCTAAAGAGATTTCTACTAATGATTAGATTGGATGTGTTGAGTATAGAATGTTCATTGGTATCTTTGGCCAGGGTTAATAACGCTTTGTGCTGTCGATAGCATTGTTGGGGCCTAGTAGTTGCCAGGTCTTCCATATATATATATAAATACTGTATATCTATAACTAATAATTTTATTCAATTCTATTTTTTGCTCTTGTTCTCTTGCAGCCGTCATTGTTTCCATCTACGAGGATCCTGTGCAACCCCAGCAGGCCGCTTCTGTGGTGGAGAAACTTGGAGATTATCTGATTACTTGCGGGTACTAGAAAATAACTGAATACAAACAAAAATTATAAAAGCAACAAGAATTCAACACCATCAACACACACCAACAACAACAACAGCAACAAAAACACAACAACAAATTCGCTAAGAAAAACCGTAAAATGAACTAAATAACTAAAAGAAGATAAAAGTAATTATTAATATTTAAATTTATGAGAAATGCCAAGAAAAAATATATTTTTTGAGGTAATTGTGGTCAAACAGATCTGAAACTTAAAATAACAATTTAAGAACAATGTCAAAGAGTGTTTATAAACCATCCACAGCATCAACATCTTAATTGCCCAAAAAAACACCTACAACAAAATTATAAATTTCTGCATTATTATATTTAAACATTTTTTGGTTCATACGATAAAAATAATAATAATAAAAAAAATATACAAAAAACAAAAACCAAACAAAATCTTAAACTCAACATAAGCTAAACGAAAAACGTATTGGAAAGCATTTTGCAAGCAACACAAAAATAATAAGAAGAAAAACTAGAATATGAAGAAGAAGCAACAAACGCAAAGCAACGCAGGCAAATTTTTGAATACTTTTTTTGTACAGCAGTTTAGTACACAAATATATATACACCGATCTAAAAAACATACACAGAGACTAATTGAGAGTGAGTGAGAAAGAGATAGATCTAGGAGGGGGAGAGGGGAGGGTATTGAGAAACCCAAACAGAATATGGAACAGAGAAAGAATGATAAGTCAAGTCAGTCAAGCAGCAGCGAACACACACACACACAGGTAAATACCAACCAATATAAATGATATATAAGTATATGTATATGTATATTTATATATGTAAACTATTTGGAGAACCATGAAGCTCTATTTTTATGTGGCAGGGAAGATACATACACATGCAAAAGAAAACAAATCGAAAATAAACAGCCGCGCAGTGAGCTAGGCAATTTTTTATACCAGAGAACTTTCAGAATATTTGTGTAATATTTGAAAAAGCGAATAAAAAAGTAAGAACTAAACTAAAACAAGAAAAGAATATACACATTCTTTTAGCCATATTTGAAATGTATGCTCATCATTGGGGTGTTGTAGTGAAGGAGTAGAAGAAAATAAAGACAAAGACGATGTCGAAGGAGAAGCAGATTCCAAACGAACACCAACAACACGCACACATTTATCCGTTTTCCAAACCGTCTCATCTAGCCATACATATATAGATACATACATACATGCATACATATAGACAAACATACCTATATATTTGGTCACTTGCGCCATTTGCTCTCTCTTTCTGTATGCGCTTTTCATGTTTGTAATTTTGCAATATTCATTAAAAAAAAAAAACAAAAAAAAAAAACGCTAAGACATCATACACACTTATCGATAAACGATATACGGCAAATGACGCGCATTTCGAACGCTGTGCAACACTGTCCGCCTACTGCCGCCAGCCGTTGATTTGAATGCCCGCGCTTTACAGGATCTTTGCTGAGTAGACAAGAGGAAGAATGACAAGAATTGGGCAATTCAGTTTTGTCATTCACAAACACACATACACACATACATTTACATGCATGCAAGTAATAACGAAAAGTAAATCAAATCAAATATACGAAAAAAAAGAAAAGTAAAGAAAAAAATAAATTTACGAATTACTTAAATCATACATAAATAAATGGCTTTTTATGTTAGTTAAACAAAAGTCCCAACATTTTCCATTTCTTTTTCTCCACAAAGCGTCAAAATTTCATCAAAATTAAAAAGAGACCCATGAATGCATAAATATTAAATATATAATATGAAATTGAAAAAAAAAAGGAAATGAAAAACCATATATAATACGATACTTTAATACTATTGAAATAAAAAACAGAGCATGGCAAAAATCCTGCTCATAAAAATGATAATTATGTGTTTTTTTTTAATGTAAAGAAATAACGGGCCATTGACTTGGTTGTTGGGGTTTCGTGCCACAGATTGCGAATCGATAGTTCAATGAACTTTCCGCTATCAGTGGAAAGAATTTGTAAGCTACTATATATTAAGAAACGGTTCTCTTTGTGTTCCTTTTCTGATTTGCTGTGAAATTCATCAACTTATTTTTAAGCTCAATGTCTGACGTAATTGCGCAATTATTTTGCAGAAATAATATGCAAATATATATAGGAATATTTTCGCACATATGTATATCAATATATTTATATTTTCTCGTTTTCCATTTTCTCACAGCAGCTGCTTTGCGCCTCAGCAATTGACATTTTCAGCATATTTCTTTAATTTTTTTAAATACACATTCACGAAAGTCAAATGGGTATATTGATTTTGTGCACTGTCCACTTTGCTCTCCGTCCGTCTGTCGGCAATTCATTTCGACGGTATTGTAGGTTGCTAGAGATTAGAAAATTAGAACGTATAATCGGGCATACCCTAGAGTTATAGAGACAAGATCTTATCGATCCGCTAGCTAAGGGCAAATCGGAAAATACATTTTCCGGTATACTTGGAAACAACCACATAATGATATAGCCCATATATAAGGGAACGTTCAGCGTTTGGGTCGTTAATGAGTAAGCTGCCGTCGGTAATGCCCGATTGCAATATTCCTACATGCTTTTTTCAGTCTTCTTGGCCCACAACATTGACCCAAATTAGAAATTCTTGTATACACCAGCGCGAAAATCTTCGCACATCTTTCCTTTTTATTTATTTTTTTTGCCACTTTCGCTTTTGAATGAATTTCTTTTCTATTTTTGTTTTTTATCGATTGCACAATTAATCAAGACATATCATTAGCTATCTTTGAGAGTGTGACTGGGTCGAACTTTTATTATTATTTATTTTTTTTACCCATAGCAATTTGTGACTCGTGCTTGTCGTTTTTTCTTAGGTTTTATAGCCCTAACGGCAGCTGGAAATCAACACAAACATTAATTCACTTAATAAAATATGCTAATTTTTCGATTATTTAAATTTCATTTGTAATTTGTGATGTCTTAAATGCGCCTCAATGAAAAATCAAGCTGACTCGGCCTTGCATATTTTTCTAGTTTTGATTTATTTAAAATTGGAATTTGAAATTCAATCAGAAAGACAGGCATATAATTTTTTGCAGTGTTTTCTCCACGCTCTTAGCTAACTGTAAACTTGAATTTCTTGTATGTATATGAAATTAAAATAACAAAAAAGTTCGTTAAAATTAGTTCAGTGAATATTTACCAAGTAGTTTTATGCATTTTAAATTATATAAATTCTGTACTATAATTCTTTTATTAAAGTTACTAAAATGAAAACACTATATAATATGAATACATAGTTAATATTTTGATTGTAATAATAATAAAGATTTTTTCATATTCTAAAAAAAAAAAAAATTTTTTTAAATTGTAGTCCAGCAACTAGAAATTATTGAATTTTTGAAATATAATAAGCTAATATTCTACCAAAATATACAGCTAAATTAAAATTTTACTACTTTTCACAATAAGTAGTAACATAAAAAAAATTTTTAAATCTATACCTTGCATATATACAAATCTGAATAATATTTTTCTCATTTAATATTTTTACATATTGATTTCTATAATTTTTTGTTAATTTCTATAAGTAATTGAAATTCTGATTTTTTTTTTAAATTTAAATGAATTAAGGATTGCTTATTGCATTCAAAATTTGTATATTCATTATTTACAAAAGAGACTCAAAAAAATGAAATAAGAATTTCTCCCATTATTATTTGGTTCCACTTTTGAAATTGGAAAGAAATTTATATTTCTCCATCTAAATTAAAATTAAGTTTTTTAGTTCATCTTTGCTTTCACTCAAACTTTGAAACTGAAGTTAAAATTTAATTTAATTAATTTAGTTGGAGCATTTAATAATTACCCAAAAGAAGTGTTTTTTTTTTTTAAGAAACCAACTGAACAGACGGATTCAAGATCTTAACCTAAATTATACTAGGTGTCTGACTCATGTAAAAAATTTGCCCTGTGGTTAAAATAATCTTTCTAAAAGTTAGGCGAAATAACATTTCCTATTCTAGATCGTCAATGCGCGTCACTATAACATGCGATGAATTCAATATACATATTTAAGATATCCCTTACATACTTACTCTTACATGTTGAAAAGCAAATAAATTACATCGAAGTTTTAGATATGTTCATGGGAACAGACTTATCCGACAAAGTCGGCAACTGCTCTGTTTATCTATATATTTCCCTTAACAAATCAAAGAAAGTCCCGAGACTTCTATAGTTCCGAGAAAATGAAAAAAAAACCCAATAAATTTTAAAGTTGTTTTCATCAATGTTGGGAAGATTTTCTCCTACACAGATAATTCTAGTTCTTGGATACACTTAACTGTTATTGGACAGTGAACGTCTCTCATACACCCTGTCGCTGCAGTCCCTGCTCTAAGATCTTTATTAAAAGATTCACTTACTGCATACACACATAGAAGTACATACGTAGAACTCATCAAGTGTTAAAAAAGTCTTCACTTCACTCAAGAATTTAGAATACACATACATTTAGATGATGAGATGACAAAATGCCGCTTAGAAACCGGTTTGCCCCTCCCAGACGCGCAACTGTTCCACGGATAGCCAAAAGAGGACCGACCAGGGCCCCAGCCGCAGCCAGCAGGGTATTAGACCCTTGTACAGATTCATGACACCCTCCTCTCTAATCAATTTCAAAACGCAGTCAAGCGAATTCTTGTAGTAGAGGCCTTTGCCCTTGTCGTCGGTGGGCTGGTTCATCATGCGCGACTTAATAACATCAGCCGGATTGCTGAGCACACTGGCCACGAGCCCGGCGACCATTGATGATGCCAACCGCAAGGCAAAACCCTCACGCATACCTAAGTGTTTCTTTAGATTGCGTTTACACAGATCATAGGCGCCCACGTCTCCGGCCGTCATGAGGCAGGCGCGCATGCAGCTGGGTCCGACGCCGCGCCACATGCCAATTATTCCGGATTTCCTGTAGACGGTTTGCAGCACATTCGGGAAGCTGGTGCTGCGCGGCGCCAGTCCCAGCAATTTCCGCCTGCCCTCCATTTGCATGCGCACCTTGGCTATGTCGAAGGGATTGGCCAAGGCCTGGGCTATACAGCCGGCGGCGCTACCGCACATGAACGCATGATGTATCCGAATGGACTCTTGGCGTTCGCTATCAACATAGATGTACGGTCGCCGGAATATATCGTACAGCATGACGCGCAGCGAATTGAATATGAAATTCCGTAGCACCATGGCCGAGAAGCCGGCATAGAGAGCCTTGGGACCCTCCTCGACCGCAATGCCATACAATGTCCGGAACATTTTGCGCGGCTTGCCGCCCGTCTTCTTCTGCTCCTCGCCGTACATCTGCATCCGAGTCTTGCCCACGTCCAGCGAATACATACAGCCCTCCGCAAAGTTGGCGCCAATGAATGTGTTGATATAGAGCATCAGTAGATTTTTGAAACTGATCTCCTCCTGAGAGTTGGCTATGTTCCTGGTGAATTGCTTCTTCTGCAACGGCTTCATGTGCCAATAGTCATTCTCATCCCTATTCATTATTATGTCAATTTGAATTTACTAGCTTTATTGAAATCAAATGGATACGATAAAAATAATTTTGACAATAGTTACAAGGAATGAAACACGTATGTTTTTGTTGTGTGATAATATGGACAACATACTAATTTTGGATCTAATCTAATAGGCCTCATCGCCACGCCATCTACGTATTTGCTCAAAGGTTGTCCAGAATATCAGGGTCCACGGACCGATACGTAACCAGTAGGGAAAGAAGCCTTTGTACATTGCAAAGACGCCTTCCTTCTGCACCAGCTTTTTGAAACAGTCGATCGTACCACTGTAGTGGACGCCTTTGCCACTAGGTGCGACCGGCTGATTCATGATCCGTGACTTGACCACATCCATCGGAGTGCTGAGCACGGCGCAAGCGAATCCCGCTATCATCGCGCCCATAAACTGAATCCGGCGATCGTCTGGCATATCTAGAAGGACCATCATCTTACGTTTGCTAAGATCGTAGACACTAATGTCGCCTGAAAATAATAATACCATCGATTAGGCATATTCATCAAATACTCTAGGTCAAGCTTAATATTCCTTTAGAATCTATTTGCATATATGGAAAAGTAGAGTATATGTGGGAAAAGTAGTAGAAAAGTAGAGTTCATTTTCTTGGAAGCTTAAGCTTCGGTACTTTATAGAATATTAGATAGAATAGAATATTTTAGTTCATAGACAAGACACCCTTATTATAGTGATTCCTAGCTCTTTTTGCTTTCATTTTTGAGGGATGGTGAGGAAATATGCGTAATATTACTATTGAACAGAAATATAACATAAATGAACAGGGAATATCCTTATTGGTCGTAGTCTAACTCTTTTCTCAGATCATTGGGAAATTATATACTGATATAATTTGTAAAGAATTTCTTGATTAAAATTCAGGAAAAGCTCTTTTCTATGCTTTTTTTTAAAGCAAAGATAGCCAATACAAGATAAATGGGTATCTTAAATCAACTAGCGGGAATACCTCTAATATTCGTAATTTACAGTACTAGAACGGTACTATTTTTAACTACTATTTCTTTCGATGCAAGATTTATAAATAAAGAATCTTCTAATTGCTTGAATCGATGCAAGATTCGTGAAAATCCTTACTAAAATCAATTCTCTGCTTAGTCCCAAGCGTTACGCAACTATTCCCTGGTAACCCATGTTTTAGACAAGGCATACCTATACAATTCCTGCAACCACTTACCTAGCGTTACGAGTGATGCACGTAACGCATTCGGGACGGTACCCTTCCAGAGGCCTCTTATGCCGCCCGTAGTATAGAAGTAGCGCAGGGCCTGAACAACATTTTTCACACGTGGCTCTTGGCCTAATGAGCGTCGACTGCTCTCCATCTGCATCTGCACTTTGACTAGATCGGCGGGTGAGGAAATGAAGTTGGCTAGACCGCCGGAAAACATGCCGGCAAAGGCGCTGCGGAGAAACGTCAACTTTGGCTTTCCGTCGCGATCTTTAATGATCAACGCGTCGCGCAACGTATCATAGAAGTACATCTTCATGCCAGTAAACATGGAGTGACGAAAGAACATGGCCGATAGCCCGCCATACAAATGAAACAGCCCCTCGTTACGGATTATGTTGAGGGCAGTGCGAAGAGTGCCAGTGTGCTTCATAGTCGCGTACGCCTTGTTTGCTTTTTCGCCCTGGATATGCATGCGGGTCTTCATTAGATCCAGGGGAAAGCAAACTAGTTCGGGAATCCATGCTGATACCACGGAGGTCAAGTATAGCTCCACAAAGGGAGTTCTCTCATTGGTGGATAGGTACGATAAGCGATAATCCGACTTGGGCGCTTTCTTATTGGATACGCATTCTTGTGGCAATATTGATCGCGGCTTATCGTTCATGATTGTAAACAGGTATAAAAGAAGTACTAAAACTCTAAGGAATTTTACTAGAATTTCGTTATAATTATGTTTGTTGTGTATCAAAATTTTGATAAAGTATCAAGGATAAGAAAGTATTTCATAAAAAATCAGACAACTATAGAAAAACAAGTTTATGTTTTGTTTTATAAAACATTGTTTTCCATGATGAGTATTTAGCTGCAAAATATTTATTAATTGTTAAGTTGCAAAGCGCAAATTTTACATTTTGATTTAACTTATTTAGTGTGTTCCATTTCGTTGGGTCATGTCTATAAAATGAACCAAGTAAGTAGGCAAAAACAGTTAAAACAGCATTAGTTGCTAGTATGCACTGGAGAATACCCTACAAACAGCAATCTTTTCCAAAAATTAAATTTTTATTTAAGTGCACTAGAATTCGTTTCTATTATTCAGAGGATTTTTGTTTGTTTAAAATGTATTTCTTGTTTAAAATGGCAAATGAAATAATATTTTATTAGAAATATACATAAACAAAAGTCTATTTACGCTGCGCCAATTAGCAAATAGTCAATCAGCTGGGAATAGAGTGCGGAGAGAGTTATGTTAAGAGTGGACAATGTGAATGTAATGAGTGTGGGTTGTAGTTTGTATTGCTTAGTTGCCTAGTGAGAGAGGGAAAGGTACAGAGAGAACATTCTTGCATACTTATTTGCATGAACATATGTAAATCAATACCCTGAAGCTTTTGATCCCGCTAACTGATGGCGAGCGGCCCTCGGCAAGGAGCGAAAATTGGAATGGTGTGAGAGAGCGAGTAAGATACACTGCGCGTCATCAGGTTAGCGCCCCCCTTTACACTCAACCTCAAAGCTAAATAAAATCTAAACYATCAGAGCTCCATCTTTGAATTTTTTTTACATTATACTCCATTTATTTATCTTTAAAATGCAAAAAGAATGGCTACTGTAACAATAAGGATTATTTTTAAATAATTTTTTTTGTAAAATGTACAAAAAACTTGTTACAAAAATTTGGTCATCAGATTAGCGCCCCCTGCGCTAAATTCAATTTATTTAAGTTAATGACCAAAAATAACACCTGTATTTTAAGCTATTGTTATTTTTAAGTAATATTAGTAGTGCGTAGTGCCGTTTTTTGTTTGAAATTACTTAAAAAATTCGATTAGGAATGAAATTATAAAGTTGTTCAATATTATTCAAGGATATGGTTGACCAAGCGTGTTTAGTACCTTCGATTAACTCTGTCTTTGCACTATAATGCTTTCCGGACTCATATACTTTCCTGATCAACCATCCCCAGACGTTTCCAATGATATTAAGGTCGAGTGAGTATGGTGGCCACTCCATGAGATCAATTTTTTGGCCCTGAATCCAGGACTTCAGGGATTTGGATTTGGATTTGGAGCATTATCATGCTGGGAAATCTAATGCCGGTTTTCAGACAGGTTATAGAAATGCGGAACAGCAGTTTTAAACACGGTGTTATAGTCCTATGCGTTCATGCGCGATGTCAAAAATTGAAGCTTACAAGCGCTGTAGTAAGATATTGCACCCTACATCAATGCCACACCACCCNTGAAATCGCTTGATTATTGCCGCTTATATAGTTTTTTCCATAGTTTTCCCTATTTGTAAGAAAATTGCCACTTAGTTTTCTGTTTTTTCCTGTTTTTTCAGCAATTTTATGGTTGCATAGTCTAGATTCAAAGTATGCCTCAATCTTTGATTTTCAACCAAAGATAAAACTGTTTCTTTACCCATACTATAAATATATTGAATACTTTGAGCTTCACAAAAAATTTGGTGAGTGTAATTGCCAAAATAAGCAAGATAATTACAATTGCATTTGGGGGCGCTAATCTGATGACGCAAAATAAGTGCACACATTTTTTGCGAAAATAGAAAAGAATAGAAAATAAAACATAACGGGTTTTCACTCGCGCTTTTTTTTGGTATGAGAGACATCTCATGCGATGATAATGAAATAAAAAAAAAAMCAAGAAGTTGCGTGMAATAGGSAAAGAGAAAAACGTAAAAGAAAATGAGTGTAAGGGGGGGCGCTAACCTGATGACGCGCAGTGTATGTATGTATGCATGCCAGTTGAAGTATTGTTGGTGGGTGAGAGAGGATTTTAGTTTGTGCGTGTTTGTCTACTTGATCGGCTAGAGTAAGTACGCGTGTCTTTTGTTGTTTATCTATTTAAGTAAAATTATCAACGTTGCGATTAGTTAAAGTCGCGAGTGTATGGGTGTGTGCTAAAATTCAATAAGTCAACTTTAAAATTATTTCGCCAACACGGTAAGTTCATATACATGCATATAAATATTTTATTAATAAATCTGCATGTGTGCATATCTACACACGTAGGTATATGTGTACATAGTGCCATTTTTGCTGTAGAGCTTTTTTGCATCACATACAAATGGGACATATTTGCATTTGTATTTGATCCACATTTGCTGCTTAGGCAGAGAGCATGAGCGGAAGAGAGTTATGCAAAGCTTATTCTTAAATATGTTCAAGTGCTCTCTATTTGACTGAATAGTAGTTGCTCTATTTTTATTTGTAAATAAGCAGCGCTGTTGCCAACATTTGCACAAGATTATTATACCCTATTGCTGGCACTTTGTAGTGGGTAAATGGTATAAAAACTATAGGCGATAAGGTAGATATGGCAAATTAAAGCGAAGCGAAGAACTTGATGACGATGACATTGCACGCTACAGCGGACCGCGCCCAAAGCTTAAGATATGTGGGCAGAGTTGGAAGGGGGCTTCGTAGGGTGGTTGCATAAACTGTTTATTGAAAATAATGATGATTAGGATGTTTGTGTGTGAATGTGAGTGGGAGTGTGTGCGTGTTTTAGTGTGTGCCAACACATGTTGTGCTGCCGTGCAACGGCAACGCGGGCTACCCTCGAAATGCGCCACGTCCTCGACTTGGGTGCGGTTCCCGGTAAGTCAGCCAGTCAGCCAGTCAACTAGGGGAGTTGGCTATAGAGCCAGCCACTTTGTCTATGCCGCCACCGTCGTCGTCGTCGTCGTCTCATTTGCTGAATGAGTAAATGAGTGAGTAAGTGGCGCTGTCAGTCAGTCGGATAGACAGTGCAGGAACAACAAAAACGTGGCCAGAGCACGCGCCCATACATATTACACCTATATATTATGCGAAACTGGCGTTTCCTACTGCCTTGAACTCGCTGCCTCAGTGTCTCTCTTTCTCTCTGCCCCACTAGCACTCTGCAACCCTTCCCCTAGCTTCAGAGTCTTTAGCACTTTTGTTAAATGAAAGCGACGTTTTGTGGTCGGGTGCGCAGGGGTACGACAAGCCTAACTAAAGGGGAGCTGCGTAATTTGAAATTCCCGACACACGCACGATTTATATATGTATGTATCTATATGTGTCTGATTAAATTGCCAGATGAGCTGTTCAGTTTGCTTACTAATGGCTCCTAGCATTCAAATGGCTCTGGGCTGCTGCGTCAGGTCATACGATTCGATGAAATCCAATATGCTTTGACCAACTGACCGATTTGACTAACACTGAATAGAGCTATCTCTATATGTTGTTATATATCATATGTATTACTCTATATACATATGTCTAGCAGTATATATAGATATGAATATGTATGTATATCTGTCTAGGTAATGTTGACTGGACAAAGTGAACGGTAATTTGAGAGTTTGTTGAACTGCAGCACGCGAAATTGAAGTCCGCTAAAAAGTTGCTACACTCAGCTGAAATTTCAAATTAATGTTGAATGTTTAATGAAAGAACAATATTGAAGAAAGAACTGATGGATTTGTGGTTAATGACAACGTCTAAATACACTGCAATTGCAAAATTGAGAGAACAACTCAATATTATAAAACTCTATATAATACTTTAAATTATTTAAATCATGGATAATAAAAGATTAAAGATTGATGTATATAATATATATGGTATTTACACTTTTATTGATTCATTAGAATAAACAATAGAATATATAAGATCTTTTGGAACGATTTAGTCTAGTTGACCTTATAAGATTGTAGTGTAGTCCATCCATATTGAACCCTCTGGCATAGGTTCGGACACTATGTACAGCTTGAAAGGGGTTTATTCAGTGTTACGAATTTCGAGTGAAAGAAACTCCAATTACCGGTGCAGCTGAAAAGGCTGCAAAGACACAAGACACAAGAGGCGGCGGAGCAAGTGAACCAAGAAGTACTGCAGCACGGATTGTGCAAGATTTTACATAGAATTCTGTGGGTGAGTCGTGGGAGTTTCAGGTTCCCAGCCAACGGGGATCTCTAACCTCTTGTAGTGCTCTCTTTTGATGATTGCGACACTTGCAGAGTATAAAAGCAGTGCGCCCAGCAGCAACGGAAGTTAGTAAACGGAAGCAATGGCCAATTATTCACAGCGCTTGAGGCTGCTGCCGCTGCTGTCGCTGCTGCTGTGCCCTTGGCTGGCACTTGGGCTGGTCCAAGAACAGCAGCAGGCGGCGCCACGCGAACAGCTGGATGCGCTGCATCGCAGCAAGCGTACGTTGACCACAATTTGTGTAGAGATCAAGCCGAGCGGACCACAGGAGGAGCCCTATTTCATGTGCAAGGGCACCGACTTCTCACGTGGCGGCGCCCAAGCTCAGCCAGCGGACGAGCAGCAACAGAAACAACAGCAGCAACAGCAACAGCAACAACAACAGCAGCCAATTCAGACTTATCAACAGACGGAGCAACAAGCGAGGCCCATTAGTCCGCAGTATATTCAGACGCCGTTTCCGTCGTTTCCCAGCTTTGGAGCTGGGTTTTTTCCGATCGCCCCCAACTATGACGAGTCACCGGCCAAGGCAACGCCAGCGACGACATATTCGAACCAGACGCCAGCTACTGAATCCCATGTCGGCAACTTTGGATCCGCTGCTGCTGCTGCCTATCCACCTGCGTCTGCTCCGCAACCATATGGCATGCCAGCAGTTCATTACCCAGGTGCAGGCGGCGCACCAGCAGCTGCACGTGGAAATGCAGCAGGCGCACGCCCAGCGCCCGCGGCCCCTGCATATGCTGATGCAGCAGCTCCGAAATCGCCGTCAGCTGCTCAAGGAGCGTCTTTACCAAAATCACAGCCTGCGAGCGGCCAAGCGAGCCATGGCAATGGCAATGCCTACGATGCGCTAGTGGGCAGTCGCTATCATGTGGGCATTGGTGAGGATGTGCTGGCCGTGCCTGATGTGGGCTTTCGCCAGGAGGAGCTCAATATGCCGTATCGGCAGCCTGTTGCTGGCAGGGATGCAATGGTGGGCGTTGCACCGCCCATGGTGTGGATGCCACTGATGCAGACGCAGCTGCAGCAGCCCACAGCTGCAGCGCAGCCGCCGCCTTATTACGATGATCCCATTATGCGCACCTTCTATGCCAGCTTGGAGCCCAAGGAGCCGCAGCTGGGACAGGCGGCGCCTCTGCAGCAGGCAGCGCCAGTGGAGTACCCCGGATACATGCCAACCTATGCACAGCCTGCCGCGGCTCCAGCCGCACCAATGCCCCCACAGATGCCGCCTGCACCGGCTCAAAGCCAACCCACTTACAATGCGAGCCCGAAGACTAGTTCCGCCCTGACTTACAGTCAAGTCCCGCCTGGCGACAGCAATGTCTGCAATTCGTGTCCCTGTCCGACGTCTGCGGACTCCACGGCTAGCTACAATACGCCCGCTCAGTGTCCCAGCTTTCAGCCTGTGATCATAGCCATGCCCTGTTATGGACAGCAGCAGCCCACGCATTATCTGGCTGTGCCCGGCTCCGGATCGGCAACGGCGGCACGTGACTCTATGGTGGGCAGTCCCTTTGGCGCGCCATTTGGACTGGGTTCGCCTTTTGGCCTTAATCAACAGGTGGCGCCATCTTTTGGCCTGGCAGCGCCTCAAGTGGGATCTGGCTTTGGACTGGGTGCGCATGCTGGCGCCACCTATGGCATCGGAGGCCCTCAGGTGGGCTCCTCTTTTGGCATGGCTCCACAAGTGGGTGCACCATTTGGCATGGCGCCAGTGCTGAATCCGTTTGGTCCGTTCGGCAGTCTGAATCCGTTTAATCCTTTCAATCGACTTCTAGGCGCTCCAGTGCCAACGACCCAGCAGCCCAGACTTCGTCTGTTTGGTGCACCCGAGGAGAGCACAATGGGAACTGCCACAACAGCAGCGCTGCCCAAAGTCTTTGGCCTAAGCTTCACCAGCAGCACCACCAGAGCGCCAACCACCAAAGGAGGCGTGCAAACAACTGAATCCATTGTTGGTGCCACACGTGATGGCGGCAAGAAAGAGGACGCCGATGAAGCCGAAGATGAGGAGGAAGACGACGAGGAGGAGAATGATTCGCACGACAACACTGAAGCGCCGAAGTCAGCTGAGGATGTGGAGACAGAAGCATCAAAATCAACGGATCCCGACTCGGATCTCAATGCCGAACAACTGATCGAGAAGGGAGAGGAAAAACTCAAGTCCGACAAGCGCAAACGTCAAAATTTCCGCTACGGCAGCAGCAAAACTTCCCACAAGCGCAAATATCTTCAGCGATTGTAGATCTTAACTAGTATAAGTTTTTACACTGTGCAAAAATTACTAAAACTAAACATTAATAAAGCTAATTAGTTAAATTGCTTCGAAAAGGGATAGTTGTATTTTGAGATCTATAAGATTAATTGAATGGAAGAAAAGAGCCAGATGATTATGAATATGTCTATAATCTGATTAGTTAATTGGTTAAATTTCTTTAACAAGAGATCTGTGTTTCTGAAGGCCTTAAAAAAAGTATAAACTTGAAGTGGACTTCAAAAGGAAATACGAAGATTGATCTACTAGAACCCGAATATATATTTATATTTAAAATTCAGGGGTAAATTTAAGCGAAACTAAATGGTTTTCATTATATTTTTGAGTGATTAAATATTTTACTAGCAAAGATAGTACAATTAAATATGGTTCGAGGTCTCTTTGATACGTTTTTCTTCAGGAATCAACATATACATGGTAGTCATATTTTGGCATTGAACTTTTTCCTCAGTAATTTTAAATGTTAAATTAATTCTTGTTACTTATTTTTTTCCCCCAAGTCGTCTTTAGCTCTTGTTCTATTTTGGCCTATGTTTCCGCTTTTTAGTCTTACACACTCATTAGGGCGAGATTCCCTAGATCTGGCCCACTGTGACATTTTCTTGCTTTCCGAAACTAAAGAAGCCCTTTAGAGGCAGGCGAGGCTAAGCTGAGATAAAGTAGATAAAGCCGGAACAAGCTGTGCAATGTTACAAAAACAAGTGCCTAATATCTGATGGACATTAAATTTAAGGAGATACAATTTTTACGCATATATAAATACTACAACGTTTATTTGGCTTTTTGTAATTATTTTCTATAGGCGTCAAATCTGTAGAAGAAACCCTCATGCTAAACATTTTCCCATGTACTATATTTTAACAGACAAAATATAATGTATATTATTGCAATCTATACACATTTATACAATTGTATATATGAGCAACTGTATATAATCTATGGCGCATGCTGTTAATTTATATTGTCTAGGAGAGACTTTCTCAATTAGCAGTGAATATAATTTATTCTGTCTGCACTTGCTACATTAAATAATTTTTATCCAATATCCATTAAAAAAGCTTAAAGTGAGTTTGATATTTCTGAGTGGGTTGGAGGAAAGTTAGTTTAAGAATAATTGTAATTTTTAAATATTTGTACTCAAGTATGTAGATTTGTATTTAAATCTTATTTGGATCTTCTTAAGACAAACTTCGCATCCTATGTATCATATTCCATAGCTTTCTACAGGGTATCTACAAGCGGTTCACTAGCTTCTACACTCTTGCTTATTTAATTTGAGTCTACTCTTTGTGCACGATCGGAGTCTTCCCAGTCAATGGTATATTTGACGCCCAGCTTATTGGCGATGAATAAGCCAATGGCCACTTAAGGAAGTATTTTATATAAATACTTGTGTACATATTTATTATGCAGTTTTTTTTCTTATACATTTTCTTTGATGTATTATATACTTCCGTTGGGGGGTTTTGCGCATTTTACCTTCGCACTGGCGCACGTCTCTATAGCAGCTACGCTTCACGGACCAAACAGGAACCTATTTATTTGCTGGCAACGAGTCGAGCCCAGTCGAGCTGCAATCTGCTGATTGCTCATGTTAAGCACGTAACACAATTTAAATAAACAAAAACGAAATTAACTATATATACATATGCATAAATATATGTATAATACAAAGCAAATTTAGGCTTCGAGTCAATGTACTTCGGCTACTGTCAAAGCTCTTGGGTTGAGTAAGCTTTGACCAGAATTGGCACAGGTGTTGCGATTGGGTTTCTACTAACCGGGCTAGATCATGTCCATTGCGAAATTCATGACAAAATCAACGATTCTCCATATTCTTCCTAAGCTTCAGCTACAGCAATGAAAGTGCGAAACTTGTATACTCTATAGATGAAGTTATAGATATAGGCAGTGAAGTTATAGATGTAGGTACATAGATACATAGATACATAGATATATAGATACATAGATTATAGATGACACAGATACATAGATACATAGATACATAGATACATAAATACATAGATTATAGATACATAGATATATAGTGATACAGATATATAAATGTATAGATATATAGATACATAGTTTTATAGATATATAGATACAGAGATACATAGATACATAGATACATAGATACATAGATACATAGATACATAGATACATAGATACAGGGGTACAAAGATACATAGATACATAGAAACATCAATACATAGATTATAGATACATAGATACATAGTGATACAGATATATAGTTGTATAGATATATAGATACATCGTTTTATAGATATATAGATACAGAGATACAGAGATACATAGATACATAGATACATAGATACATAGATACATAGATACATAGATACATAGATACATAGATACATAGATACATAGATACATAGATACATAGATACATAGATTATAGATACATAGATACATAGTGATACAGATATATAGATGTATAGATATGTAGATACATAGATACATAGATTATAGATGCATAGATACAGAGATACATAGATTCTTAGGTACATAGATACATAGATACATAGGTATTTTTACAGATATAAACCCTTCTCTACCCAACATAATACCCTAGTAGCGATGCCTTCATAAGGCAGGGTATTGAAGTGCAAGCCTTGCACTTTTTTGGGTCACTTTGGGCAGTGATTGTTCGATGCAATTGGAGCTTGTTCGAATAGTTGCAATTGAGTATTCGCGACGTGAGGTTAAATTCACAAACGTCAACGCAAAATGCACAATTCCTGGATTTGTTTGATGGCTTCATTGGTCTGCAGTTGCTGCTGCCTGGTTGGGTACGCGCAGGCGCTGTCGTATGATGATGTTGGCATTTCGAATAGCATTGCGAGACCTGGACAGCCCATGTACTACCTGATGGCCGATGCAGGCTCCACAGTGGGTCCCAACGACGAACTGAGGCGTACGAATCGTTCGCTCATGAAATGGTGGGACGATTTATTCAGGCAATCCAGTTGCTGCAACGGCAATAACAATAATTTGCCTAACAACTACAACAATAATCTGCTTTATCCCAATAATTTGGCACCCACTTTGCCCGTCAATAACTGCAACAATGGATTGCAACTGGATCAACTGGATCCCTTTAAGCAACTGAAACTGTTCAAGAAACTGCCCGATCTGTGGGGCAACAGCTGTGCGGGTCAGTGTGGTCAATGTGGTGGCCAGCAACCGCTGAACAACTATGCGCCACCACCAAGTCCTGGCTATGGCGGCGAAGGCTATGCACCACCGGCACCACAGCAGCAGCAGCAGCAGCCGCAGCCAGAGGCTCCAGTTGAATACAATCCGGCACCACCTAGCGGCGGCTATGAGACACCCAATCCCAGCTACGATGGTCCCGGCGATGGCGATGCCGGCTATGTGGCACCAGCACCATCGCCAGCACCACCACCACCAGCTGAGGAATATGCGGCTCCTGAGCCGCCAGCCGAAAGCTACGAACAGCCACAGGCACCTCAACCAAGCTATGAATCCCAGGCTCCAGCACCAGCACCAGAGAGCTACAACAAAGTGGAAGAGTATGGTCAACCCGCCAAGTCCTACGGTGGTGCACAGCCACCGCAAATCGTCTATCAACCCATCATTTACTTATCGACCTCATCCAAGGACGAATTGGCCAACAAGCTGAAACAGACGGAGCAAAACTACGAAGCGCAGACGGAACAACCAGCACCACCTCCACCACCAACAGCTCAGCCGGTCTATGAGCAACCAGCTCCAGCGCCAGTGGATTTGCCTACATATGCTCCAGCTCCAGCTCCAGTACCCCCTGCACCACCTGCACCATCTGCACCCTGTACTCCACCCGCTTGTGCGGGCTATTGGCCCATTTTGGGCGTTCCTTTCTATGGCTATTCTGCACCACCTGCACAAGCCCCAGCACCAGCTCCAGCTCCCGCACCAACTCCTGCCCCAGCACCTGTCTATGTAGCACCACCAGCACCACAACCAGCACCGGTCTATGCACCTCCACCTCCAGCGCCACCAGCGCCTGTCTATACGTCCTCCTCCTGCCAGACGCCCATTCGATTGTCTTTAATTGATCAACCCTATCGCGTGGCACCCGAACTCTTCCAGGAGTACAACTACCGCTTGGCCCTGGCCGAGAGGAATGGATATAGTAGATGAATACTGGAATGATCAAGACTTTACTGTAAATAAAATCTATGTAAATGCTGTTTGGATTGTCAGTCTATTAATTTACAAAATGTATTGGGCTCGGTTGCATTGGGTTCGGGTCTTGGCTTAGCTGAAGTGGATTTATGGAGGATGACGGGATGATCACGCACATAAAAAGAGTTGTCTTTATTATTTTAGACTTTTTTTTAGCTTTAGATGATTGGTAAGTTAAATTAGAAGTTGGCTCTACAATCTTGGTAAATAGTATATTAATAATAAATAGTTTAAGAGCTATGTAAATGTTGCGGAAATATATCTGATAATCGGTATATAGCATTGCATCGTACAATATAAATTATTATATTATTAGTTTT